TGTCATTTTCCTTTACGATCGATTTCATCACGATTCTTCTTTAAAGCTTCGAGAGTAATTATACATTCTTATTGCTCAAAGTAGAGTTCAATAGTGTTAAACAACACTCGGGGAATTCCAGTAAGATATCTTTAATCATTTCTGGGATACAACGGTTCAAAGCTTAATCTAACAACTGGACCATTTTGCTTTTACACAATTTGGACAATTTTGCAATTACTGCATATATATATATATATATATATATATATATATATATATATATATATATATATATGGTGATAAAATATAAAAGGTATTCTATATTTATGGGTTGAAGTACTCAATATCAGGGCGTATGTAAATATAAAAGTGGACATTGAAGTCAACATCCTGTGGCAACAATCTGATTCAGGTTCAACGTAATCAATGGCCATTTTCATATATATATATATATATATATATATATATATATATATATATATATATATATATATATGTGTGTGTGTGTGTGTGTGTGTGTGTGTGTTTGCGTGTGTGTGTGAGAGAGAGAGAGAGTGAGAGCGAGAGAAGATAAGAGAGAGAGAGTAGAGATGGTATTAGCTTGTCAAAATGGAGAATAGAATCGGGTTTGAGACGGACAGAGAAAAGACATGCCTTGCTTAGAGTTACAATAGATAGGAATTTGGAAGTGCTATGAGCTGAAGGAACACGATACATAGAAGATGAAGAAGATACAGTGGTCATCTTGTCAAACTGGACGCTTGCTAAGCAACCAGTCTCTCACCACCTTCTCTTGTCACAGCCTCGACAACGACTACGTGTGCCGATTGGAGCATTTAAATATATATCTTAACCAATCAGGAAAGCGATGCTAATCAGTAGTGACTCAAAATCTTAGTTCCTTAATTATGTGTTTGGTTTTAATTCACATTGAGTAAGTATATAAGAACATATATATCGGAGTGGGTAAGAAAGAACGAAAGAGGATTTAAGAAAGCTGGGGGCATATTGGGAGAATCTTCAGGTTTACGAACGAAATGATCAGTAACATCACCGCCTGTAATTTTACGATAACGGATGCACAACGGGTATTGAAGAGCCTTGAACCACCTACTAATTGCTGTTGTTCCCAGGTCCATCCTGACCCGAGGTGGTAGCACCTGATAGGGTCCCAGCTACAGGCAAATAGTTACCCTCCCCCGCAAAACTGGGGTCAAAACATTATGAAAGTGTAAAAATAAATTTTTATAGTGAACGTGGCAGAAATACATTTTCATAGTAAAAAAATTACCAGCAATTCTGTCAAAAAATAAATCCTCCGTCGCTTCCTTCTGTTTTTTTTTACAAATACTTTCACGGTAACTGCTCCGATGAGATACTTTCGCTAGTTCCCAAACTTCATGAATTTAAGCGTTCAACTAGGCTAGCATCTCTCTCTCACCCTTTCACTGTCGAAACTGTTAAATGTAGCCGTCTCTTCTACTCCAATAGCCTCATGGCTCGCACTTCTTGCCTGTGGAACTCCCTCCCCTTTTCTTGTTTCCCTGATAGCTATAATCGCCAACTATTCAAATGTAATGTCAGTCGACGTCTCCAGATGTCTTGATCTATTCCCTAATCTTCTCTTCATCCTTTCCTCTATCACTCCTCTTTGCTCTCGATCCAACTCCCTGTAACTCTTTGCGTGCTAGTGGCTTCCCGCCTTGCTTGGGGTGAAACGCTTCAAAAAAATACATTTTTGCAAAGTAAAAAAATATTACAAGCAGTACATTTTTTTTATAAAAGAAATCATTAATGCTCCCCAAGAACATTAATTTTCGACATTAAATGACCCATGAGGAGTTGATATGCCGTTAAAGAAACAAAAAAACAAAAAACGATGGATAACGAACCCGGTCTTGATAGCGGCTGTTTTTTTGTTTTTTTTTTTCAAAGGGTAATCCTAATTTAGATAAACATTCATACTGACTTTGACTGGGGGTACACAAACGTGGTGTAATGGTTAACAAGCTCGTCTCGCTATAACAGTTACAACCGAGTAGTGACATCGAACATCAATGGACGCTCAATTCTTTCGGCCTTGTGCCACATCTAAGCTACGCCTTCACTTTTCATCTTTATCTCCATTTCACCACCATACACGTGG